CACGCGAGGTATGTCAATGCATTTACAGTTATGTCGCGAAATGCTTTGAAATACATTTCGCGACGCTCATGCTTTGAATTTCGAGGGCGCGGAAATGCATTTCAATACATATTTTCGCTACATGAATAACCCCATTACAATTTATTGACTTTTCTCCCAAAATTGCGCTTAAGAGGAAAAATCAATAATTTTCGAGGTAATTCGCTAATTTAAGATTGTGCTTTTTTATGCGTTGCTTCCATTTTTGTCAACCAAATTTGTTTTTCACACAGAAATCCAATTTTTTCCTTTTTCTTCGATGATTTATTCGAAAATTTCCCATGTATCCTCTCAAAAATTCGATTTTATTCCAGATGGTTCCAAACGGAGGTTTGGATCCACTCAACATGCGGCTGCTAAAATTTCTAGCAGAAAAAACGGAGCACGCGACGACACCGCAGGCGATCGAACCATTGTTTAAACTTTTCGCCGAAGCGGAAAAACAGAAGAAGTCGACACGGTTCTATCGAGGCCGATACCATGACCACTTGAGCCACAGGATTCATCAAATCGATGAGTTGGATCTGGACGTAAAAGTGAAGTTGCTGTTTGCGTTCAGTTTGCGTGTCGATGCGTATTTCGTACAGGAGTAAGAGATTTGAATATTATAATTTGTAACAAAATTTGATTTCAGACTGAAGAAGAATGCGGTTGTGCTGTTGGATGAACGGGGACGAATCACATATTACAAAAATACAAGTGGAGGACTCGAATTAGCCAGAGATCCGGTAAGGGATTCGTAAGTCTTCAAAATATCGAAAAGTTTATAAACTATAATTCCAGCCAAAAGGCGTGACAAAAGCTGAGCGGGATAGGAAGATTATGAAGTTCATCGTCGAAAAGGCCGAAAAGTCTACGACTCCTCTCGGCGCCGATGCATTGGCCAAGGAGTTTTTGAAACAGAAGGAGGAAATCAATCCCACGTGTCCAAGAAAATCAGATCGATCGGAAAAGAGATATGGTCGTCGTTGGAATACGACAAACCGAAACGCATCAAGCTGATGTTCGTGACCGGAGCCAGTTTCGATGAGGAGGCTGTTGACGAGTAAGAAATTTTTTTCAAATTTTGGGGAAAAAACTCAAATTTCAGACTCCGCAACGATGCCAAGGCCAATTTCGACAATCAACGAAGACTCACAAAATATTCGGCAAACGATGGCACTCTGGAATTGGAGGGAATGCTGAGTCCAGAGAATGAAAGGAAAAAGCCGCCTGCTCCTAGAAAACCAAGACGGTATGTTTTTTTCTTTTCTGGTCGAGTCGATATAATCGATTTTTCAGGAATTTCAAGAGGCCGAATTCAGAAGATAGCGAGCCAGAATCGCCTGTAAAGCGAACAAGAAAATCAGCTCCATCAAACAGACGATATCTGAAATCTACGAGCGAGTTGTTGGACGAAGAGCCACGTGGATCAGGTAATGGATCAACGCCGCCGTCATCTCAAACATCTTTCCATGTTGATTCGCAGAAAATCAATGCGAAGGAATTTTTGAATTTCCTACAAAGCCTCGTGAGCCTCGTGAACTCTCCGCTCCTTGCGAAGTATGAGAAACAGTTCGAGAAATCGATAGAAATCGATAAAGGAGAGAAGGTTTGATATTTATTTTATGAATTCTTTGAATTTTTGTTTATTTTTTCAGTGGATTCCTGCTACCACCGTTCAAACTACACTCGACTTTTCGCTATTGTTCGTCGAATGGAATACTGGGACTGACGATGAACGTGGATCTGGTGACGAGACGACCAGCAGCTCGACAAGTCTCAAGCGGTTCCTTTCGGTTCTAAGGAGTTCGCTGCTCTCATTGCCCAATGTATCGTTAAAACATGTACATGACAAGCTGAAGAAGGATATTAAACAGCTGGAGGAGCACGATAAGATCATTTCCATTCAGACTATTAGTATCGTTTTGGATAATTATTATATGATGGTATCAAAAAGTTAATTGTAATCCTGTGCGAAGTGATTGTAACCTTGTGTAATATAGTGGCGATTATTGTTTTACTTTTTTTTGATTTATTGCATGCTCTGTAAATAAACTGATACTAACTCTAACATTTTCTGATTGTTTGATTCGCTGTCATATTCTGTATAATCTTCGGAAAAATACTTTCGACTCCTCTTGGTGCTGGAGCTTTCTTCTTTTCGAATCGAGCCGATATTATCAATTTTTCAGACGAGTACTGTCTATTCAATAAAACGTGGGCGCGCCGCAG